TTGTACTGGGGATTGAACTCAGAGGCACTGGACCATTGAGCCATATCCTCAGCCCTATTTTGTATTTTATTTAGAGACAGGTTCTCACGGAGTTGCTTAGCACTTCACTGTTGCTGAGGCTGCCTTCGAACTTGAAATCCTCCTGCCTCAGCCTCCCTAGCCACTGGGATTACAGGCATGTGCCACAGTGCCTAGCTATCAAGTATTTTTATTAAATACATTTACTACATAAATTAGAAAAGTAATACATGTGAAAAGATTTAGGCATTCAAGTGTATGAGCAAAATGGCCTTAGATTCTTTAGAAAGTACCAGTGCCTAGCCTCAGTGCAATTCTCTGATTAACACTGCCAAAGTAAAAGCAGTCATCTTTTTCTGTTTCTTTCAGAATGTACCTGAAACATGGGAGTCCAGTTAAAATGATGGAGAGTTATATTGCAGTTCTTACCAAGGGGATCTGCCAGAGTGAAGAAAATGGCTCTTTCCTTAGCAAGGACTTTGATGCTCGAAAGGCATACCTTGCAGGCTCCATCAAAGGTAAACAAACAAAAAGAGAAAGAAAAACTCAGGCCATGAACAGAATCCCTGAGGCAAGGCCTGCCTCTCTGTAGACTGTTGTACCACCCCTCCATACATTCTTTTCATCTGTGTAACGCACTGCCTACATAGGAGAGTGCTTCAACTCCCATATTTTCCAATTGGTTTAGAATTCTGTCAAAGGAAAATATTTTTGTGCCATTAATTCCTATATTACTCTATTACCACAGAAATGTTCTTTCATCTTGGTGCAGTGGCTTTGCATGCCTATAATCCCAACTGCTCAAGAGGCTGAGTTGGGAGGATCTCAAGTTGGAGGCCACACTGGGCACCTTGGCAAGACATGTCTCAAAATAAGATAAAGAGGGTTAGGGATGTCGCTCAATGGAAGAGCACTTGCCTGGCAAAGAAAAGCCCTGGGTTCAATTTCCAGTGTCTAATACCCTACAGAATGGAATGTTCTTCCACTAGCAAGTTGAACTTCATGGCTCAAGGTCTCTACTGACTTCCACAGTTTTTCTTTTCCTTAGATCTTATCAGTTAGTGCTTCCATCTGGAAAGATCAAGCCCTAATCTAACGCCCAGCTAGGAAATCCAAAATGGCAGAAACCCCAGACTAAGCCCCAGACTTTAAGGTTTTTAGGAGGGAAAACTGTTTCCCTGCCTTTTGCTTTTGATCTCCTGTCCTTTGTGATTTCTAAGCATCCTGTTGAGATGTTTAGTGTTCTTTAAGCTAGCTGAAAAAGAACTAAAATAATGGATTTGTTTTTTGTTTTAATTAGGTGATTTTTTTTCTTTTTTCTCTTTCTCTTTCCCTTTCTCTCTGTCTATTCCCTCCAGCACTGGGGATGAATCAGGGTCACTCTACCACTGAGTTACATCCCAAGAATTTTTTATTTTATTCTGAAACAGGTTCTCACTATACTGCCTAGGCTGGCCTCAAACTTGGAATCCTCCTACCTCAGTCTGGAGGCAGAAGTAGCTGGAATCACAGGGGGGTACCACCGTGCCTGCTTAGGTAGAAATTTTTGTGACACAGAAAGATGTTGGTTCCCTTATCATTTTGGCTTCATCTTTGCATCCAGCAAAGATAGTAGATATGCCTGTCCACCAAGTGAGGTGTTTTTGTGCTTAAACATTTGCCTAACTTTTTTCTCTGTATTAAAAATAATTCTGCATTCATATGACAAGAATTCTTTCTGTTAAAAACTTTATACCGTATGTAATATTGAATGTAATAACATGATCATTTTTCTTTTAAGACATTGTATCTCAATTTGGAATGGAAACTGTTATCTTACACACGGCATTGATGCTAAAAAAACGAATTGTTGTCTATCACCCTAAAATAGAAGCTGTTCAGGAGTTTACCAGGTATTGTCACTGATTGTCTTTTTGTATGTGTATGTGGTATTGGATATTGAATCCAAGGGTGCTCTACCACTGAGCTATTCCCCCAGCCCTTTTTATTTTTGCTAAATTGTTGACCTTGAACTTGGGATCCTTCTGTCTCAACCTCCCAAGTCACTATGATTATAGATGTGGGCCACTATACCTGGCTCTTGTCACCAGTTATTAAAAAGCACAAACTCTTGGCAGACAGTTCAGAACACTAGCTGGTAACATGTGCTCTGTTCTGTTGCACATTTGGTGTGAATAGCATGTAATACTCTGATGGTAAAATACCATTGGGGTTTAATGTTTCAGTCTAGATCTAGTGGTTCAGGGATTTGGACAGGTTCTTCTTTAACTTTAGAAATGGGTCTATTTAAAAAATGGGACTATTTTAAAGCAAGGAGTTAGCAAACTTTCTTTACCAGGGAGTGAATATTATAGACTTGTGAGCTACATAATCTCTATTCTAATCACTTGGCTACTAGGCAGCACAAAAGCAACCACAGACATATAAGTGAATAACATGGTTGTGTCAATAAAACTTTATTTACAAAGACAGGCAATTCGCCCCCAGGCTATAGTTTACTGACCTTTATTTTAAGGATAAGTTTTTGTTTCTTCTATTCCAATTTGCCAATCTCTCTTATTGTTAAAATAAATGTACTTTTTTTTTTT